AAGAGATGTGGCCAGCATAATTACTTCCACATATTCTTTCTTTTATAGTCAGTCACAAGCCCCTTAGCAATGGCTGCCTGTATACCACTTAGGTCTGAGAACCCAAAAAAGCACCATCAAAACAATCTCTTTTTGCCTAAAAGTAAAAACCTTCAAGCAGCCCTTCAAACACATACCACTTAAACAAGACATAGGAACCGTGAAAAAAAATACCAATTTCCTGTCTAATCATTCTTGTTTGTAAGCATAGACTTTAGAGAAGAAATGGAAGCACTGAGTTCCTCAACCCTTTTCACAAGCCCTCAGCTACTCAGAATCTTCTAGTGAAGATTCAGCTTAGTACAACTCCACAGGCAACAGAAAACGTTTAAATGCCCTAACCAGAGAATCCTGGAATAGGAACACTGGACAGAAGAAGTTCAAGGTCCTGTGTCAGATCCTCTTCATTTTACACAAGCAATAAGCAGGTCAAAGCACCATCTTAAAAAGTCATCTACTCCCTTTCACATCCATATATGTCACTGCTCTTTCCACCATAACTCATCTGGTAAGGCTCTCAGACCCACTGCACTAATTGTAGGGGAAGTCATGTGGTCTGTCATTTATCCTTAAAGCAGAGAGCTGCAAGATGATTAGATTCATACCTCTCTCTTAGCTTCATTTTGTTGTGATCTTTCTGTAAAGCCTAAATGAGGAAAGGTATCAAGGATCCACTGAGCCAAGGCATTCCACCACCCACCACTGCCTAAGATACAACTCTTGGAAAACAATATTCATCCAAATTATGAAGGCATGGGTGCACAAGTCTACTTTGAGGAACTAATTGTACAAATACATTCCTGTAAACTAAGAGTCATCTGTGACAGCAAAACATGGAGTGCAATCTAGCATTCATCAGTGTGAGCTAGCTGAATTAACCAAGGCATGTAAGATGTAATACTGTAAAATTCCAAGAAACAAAAGACAGTAACATAGGAAGTTTTCTGTTAAGTCATAAGAAATTATCTCCAAAAGATTTTGTAGCTAGAAAAAACACAACCATTTGCATTTTTAAAAAGGGGAAGTTACGAACATACATAGTAGTTTGCTTTTAAGTGCATAAACTCTGTCTCGAAAGATATGCCGGAGACCGGCAGCATCAATTTTGTTCCAGGAAGAGTCAGTGCAAAGGCATGGGAAGGAGTTTCTCTCTGTACCTCCTTCCCATCTTTTAATGTCTTTTTTGTCATGTTTCTTACTTTTTCCTATTGTAGGTTTTTCTCAGTTTTTACTTGTATTAGTCTATGTTTTCATTACATCATGATTACATTCCTTGTGAGGAGTTGGCACATGTATGTAACACATTCTATCTCTTGATTTCTGATTCAGGAGAATGTACTACATAGTCAAAATGTAGTTTTTGTTTTTGTTTTTTTTTTTCAGGCAACCTATTGTCTTTGATAAAATGTAGTTTTTTAAAAAAGAAGTTTAAAAATCTGATATTTTAAGAAAGGATAAAAACAGATAACAGCCATTTCTTTCAGGACTTTAGGTAGCCAAAAAAATGCTGGCAAACCCAAATGTGGCTTCCCAAATTTTGATCTCTAAAATTCAAGTCAGGGAAGCTCTGCCCTTGGGGTAAAGCCAGATGTTCATGGCACTAAGTCTGCACCCTTCCTCCCTGAGCTGGAAGGGACCCATGAGCTAGCTATATTCCTAAGCCTTTCTTTAAAGATTAAGTCGATGAGCTCTGCTGAATTACTTGGCTGTTTCCTTAGAAAAGTGTGTTTATTAACAGAGCACGGTTTCTTGACAACTACCAGTTTGCTAAAATCTGTGCACAATGCTGTTTTAAACTCAGCAACGCCAGTAACACAACTGAGGCTCTGTAAGTGTTTGTGACAACTACATGACAGGCTGGCCAGGTAGGTATATGAAAGGATGAACTCCAACCATTATCACTCGATGCTCACACAGTTGCAGTGCCTAGAAAATGCTAATGTGGCCAGCATGTGCTGCAAGGCCATTTTCCAGCTAAACGCCATACCTCTAAAGTGCTTCTAACAGCCTACAGAGATTTGTGTTCCTAACTCTAATTCTATTTTAGCCTTCGGATTTCACAGTCTACTTTTACCACAGTTAATCAATAATGGACTACAGCTACACCCCAGTTCTGGTGCTGGTACAAACAAAGACGAAGTAAACTCTGTTCTCATAGAGCCTTCATCTGAATCCCAGATACAGAAGCCAGAGGCACAGGCACAAAGCGCAGTATGTCTACAGCTCCAGGCAAAATCTACTGCTAATCGTCTCACACCCACCTAATAAAATGTGTGAGGACTCAGCTGCCAGGCTGAACCACGAATACAGCCGAAACACGGCCTTGCAAGCCAAGAGCCACTGAGCCTTGCACATGAAATGATTTGGGAATTATGACATCACATTATAGCATAGCAAGATGATATTAAAGTTTCACAGAGCCACCATGACATGCCTTAATACATAAACAAATTTTATACAACAATTACATGTTTTGAAAACACAAGTTTTTCCTGAGGAAGCAGAAAATCCAATAAAGACAATCAGATGCCTCCACAAAAGTAAGAAAAGTTATGTAGAAGCCTGGCATCCACCTCACTCTGAGTGAGCAGCATTCATGCCAGAGAAGCACCTGGACACAAAATTATTCCCAGCTAGTCATGTATATAGGTATGTACGTGTCTAGAGGTTTGCCGTTCTACTTACAAAATACCTGAGTGACTGTCACTGTCAGCTTCTAAACTGGTGTTTTAAAGTATTCTTGTACAAACTTACTTCCACTCCTACTTTTAACATCAGTGAAAAACACCAGATAGTTATCTGGTTGTTTCTGATAGTTATCTGACAGTCTATACATTTTTAAGTATGATTTTTAAATAATTTTTAAAGAATCATGAGAATCCATTGAGCGAGATACTCTAGAGCAGTTCTAACAGCCTAGGGAAATTTGGGTTCCTAACTCCAATTCTATTTTAGCTTTCAGAGTTCACAGTCTACTTTTACCACAGTTAATCAATGATGGGCTACAGCTACACCCCAGATTCTCATGATTAATTGGAAAATTAAAAAGGCTATTTACATCTGTATCTTAAAGATCTTTCCAGTCTAATGTGCTGAACTAACCCTTTACAATTTAGTTTCTCAAATATATCCACTAAGATTGTATCATTATAGGAATAAATGTATTCAGGTAAGTCAAAAACAAATAGGACTCACCCAATGAAAAACTTGGTGAAAATGAGAGGGCGTGGGTTGTGGTGCAGCTCAGTACAATATTGGCATATGTAAGGCCCTGGGCCCCACTCCCCGCACCAAACGATAAACTAAAAATAGAAAACATTTAAACCAGACTAGTATGAAATACAACTATCACTTCACTATACTCAGAACTCTAAAAATGAATGACAACAAAAACCTCAAAGTTTAACATGAAAAATTAGGAAGTAAGTGGTTTCTCTTTCTCAACAAACACACTCAGAAAAGTCTTCCCAGAGCTGGAGAAAACAAACTGCTTCACAAAATCAATTCTAGCTCCTTTCCCTTTCCTGGGAAGACAAGGCTCAGGAGTTAAATCATTCTAGATTTTTCAGCTAGGGCTGAATCTGCTCCAGCAGAACAGGGTAGCCCCCAAAGGGGGCTGCCTTTTCACAGACAGAACACACCACACCATAGGTACTTTTTACTGCATACTAGTCTTCCTGGATGGAGAATATGTGATTGGAAACTAAGACTCTTCAATTCTTGAGCACTCACTGGGTTTTAAAGAGTAGCACCTATACAAATGAGATGTGATCTTACAGGAGGACTAAGATGTGAAAAGCACCATCAGAAACCAAAATCTAACTAAGAGTGGTAGAAACAACCAGAAACACATGGTAAGCGTTAACTCGCGTGCCAGGCACTAATGCTTAAAGTTTACAGCTTTACATACACTGTTTCATTTAATCCCACAATTCTATGAAGCAAATACCAATGCAAATTCCATTTCAAAAATAAGAAAATAGGCAAAAAGAGGGTTAAGCAGCCCCTCTAATATTACACAGAGTGTATGAGACAGGGATGGGCCATGTGCACCCAAAGTCTAGTGTTTCTCCAACTCTCACTACTGCTATGGGTAAGGGGCCTCCTCCTTCCTTGGGAGAAGAATGTCATCAGAGGAGATTTTGGCTCAGAGATATTCCTTCCCAGAAATCCCACCAACTATCAGCATGATCAGGAGCAGGCAAATAGGAAGAAACAGAAAACTAAACAAAGACCTTTCTTTCTCTCTCTCCTCTGAACCCATTCAAGAAGAAATAGAGTCCTAGAAATCAGTTTTAAGAGTAAGTAGTTTACAGCCAGGAAAATAAAACGTGCAGTGATACAACTCATCATTCAGAGAATTTCAATTAAAAATCTGTGTCTCTGCTCTGGCTCACAGAGTGTCAGAAGGCACTTTTAGGCACTGTTGGTGAAAATGTAAATTCTGACGTAAGCTTTTTAGGGTGCATTTTGGCAACGTTCATCAGCATCTTAATGCACATTCTAGAGACACTGCACAAGGACATTACAAGTTGCAAAATGCATTATAGCACTGTCCATGGTAGTCAAAGCACTGAAAAACCAGACTAAATGTCCACATGGGAGGGGACTGGCTGTACAGACAGGGTTGTGAGCTCACACTGGCATTCTAGGGAGGGACAGTCGGCACATGCTGCAGATAGAGTGCTCTCCAAGGCATACTACTGAGTAAAAATGTTGGGTACAGAATAGTATGTGTACCATCTCTACAAAGGTTTGTTCTTAATATGCAAATGTACCTATATATGCATTAAACTTTTCTACATGGATAGTTAAAAATTGTTAGTAATTTCTTCTATTCAAAGAATACTGATATGCTGCCCTACTACATCTAGAAAGAAAACAAAAATCAGTTTTTTGATTGCCTTCTAAAAAATGAAAACCTGGTTTTTTGGATAACTGTACATCTTGTTATTCTGTACCTTGTTTCCTTCATACACCCATCCCAGACTCTTCACACCAAAAGCAACTTGGTTGGCTGAAACATCTAGAGATGTAATAGGCTGGCCGTAGACATAATGGAGGGTTCTGGCTGAGTCTTCAGCTTTTAGCAGGTACACCAAGTCTCCAGCAGTGGCTATTGCCACAGGGTACCGTCCAGTATCTGGGACTATTTCAAGGTAGTCAACCTGTTAAAGCATAAGAGTTCTTTTAGTTCTACAAACTCATCCTGACAGTCAAAAATATCAAATTCTGTTCACAGATAAATGACACGAAAAGCAACCCAAAAGAAAAGGTGGACAGAGGGACTGTTTACAGGAAAGGAACAAACAGCTCTTGCCCAAACGAATGATGATCATCCTAAAAGAAACACACTACACTCCTGTAAAGAAAAATATGAAGTGAAAATTAATTTAAAATATTATTTTCTATACCCATGCTTATGGATCCTATTACTGTTAACAGGGCTAGCATCTGGTCCAGCTTCTATCATGGGAAATCTGACGATGTTATCAAAATGTCAAATGCACATATACCTTGACCCAGCAAGACTACTTCCAGGAATGTCCTTACAAATAAACCTACACATGCACAAAATGATTATGGACAAAGCTATTTAGTGTACTACTATTTTGTGATAGTTAAAAACGCCAACTCAAACAGTCATTACTAACAAACTAAATAACTTAATGTGTACCACTATATGTTGAAATATCATACGGTCACAGAAAAAAGCATGAAGATAGTCTTTATAAACTAGTACAAATGGGTTGGTCTCTCAGGTAATTTGGGAGCAGGAAGAAAGCAAGATGAGTGCACGGACTGCCAGGGTGCTGACATTTGTAAAAGACAGGGCAGGAGAACTGCATAGTGTGCTCGACTTGCAAATGAACAAATCTTCCAGCAACAGCAGCCTCGACGAAATGGGTTGTAGCACAGGATAGAAAGAGGATTTCCCATTGTTGGCCTTACTGTGCTTTTAAAATTTTGAATTCTGAAGGTGCAACATCTATTCAAACAAAAAGTTTTAGTGTTCACAAGAAACTGAAAAAAAAAATCACCCAGTTCCAAATTAGCAAAATCATATTTTAACAACTTTGTGTAATTATAAAAAATTTGTTGCCAAAAGGTTGAAAACATGTGCGCTCTCTGACTCTCCTGGTCTCCATGGCAAGCAGTGATCCCCCAGAGGGCCCACCAGGCCTCTAGGAGCAGGGAGCATGGCAGTGCTCCCAACCGCACCATCACTAATACTTTCTCTAATTTGCACAGGGCAAGGAACACCTTTAAGAAAACAATTTGCTTTTCTCTATCCACAAGTGATACAGTTCTCCCCATGCAGTTTACATCAGGTCCTTGAGTGACTTAGGAGAGCATAAGTGCTAAAGGTGAGGCACACTGTGTAATTATGAAAATCCATGGTGTAAAAGGATACCACTGCCCTGACAATGTGCCAGATGAGTTCAAAAGCCTAAACCCTGAAGACTTTCCAGAGGAGCTTGAAAGAGAGCAAACATCCAAGTGGCTCTCCTAATCTTCAGGCCCAACTGTGTGAGAGGCAGCCCAGCATCCCCAGCCCCAGGTCCATCCCAAAGGATGGGTGCTCTGGGCTAATGCTGCAAACCTGGGAAGGCTGCCACTGCTATTCCGCGAGAGTCTGGGGAAGACAAACACATCCAGCTCTGCAGGCCAGGGGCTGCCATTTCCAGGGATACTCGGTGTGAGTTCTCAGCCAGGGTAAGAAATAATACATAAAAAGTGTTAAAGACATGCCTCTGGCATTGGCAGCTTGCTTCCTCTCTCTCCACAAAAACTCACTTCTTATTTTCCCAAAATGGACATCCTTAGTCGGCTGTTATACTTCATCTTGATGTTGGACTTTTGACAGACCAAGGGGCTCAGACTGACAGCGGTTGTGCCATTTGCTGGGAGCCGTAAACTACTTCAAAAAGGTTCCAGTCTGTGCCAAGATGCTACTTCATTGCCAAGGTAGGATTTACATTTTACAGGGGACTCGCATCTTAAGTAACTGTCTCAGTTCATATAATTACCCCTGGCCTGCAGTGTTCTTTAACCAGAAACCATACAGTATGCACCACAGTAGTTTTGAGAATAAACAGAAATAATGCACTTCCACATATTTCTAATAAAACCCCAAGACGAGATGATAGCAGGAGGCAGTTTTGGTGGACATTAAATCCAGACTGCACAGATTTGATCTTTAAAGGGAGAAGAAGCAGTGATGTTGTGAAAAGTTATTCAAATCTAACAGGATTTCCACCAGGGAATAAAGTGAGAGCAATAAGGATTTATTTCAGGTCAGGCCATTAATTTGCGATTGGAGGCTAGTTTTTCTGCTCACTTGCCTAACTCGTGCCAAAATCAAGTTTGTTTAAATTAAATTAAATCCAATTCAGCAAAGATGTGGGTTCACACACAGCTGAACTCTGAAATAAGTTCTGCATAAAGAATTCTTAAGCCAGTTCAGCTTCACACACAAAGCTGGGGCATGGCTACCTGATTACCACTGACATAAATCTGTTTTCAAGCAAGTGCTGCTCATCATCATTCCAGGTGAGCCAACTCAGGGATGAAAACAGTGTAGGATGGTAACCCTTTCACATGAACTGGGATGACACCACTGAACTCACAGACTTCCATAGCTGACAGTCTACCAAGTTAACCTGAAAGAGGCTGAGAACCAGAGTGAGAAACTAGCTCTGAGGTCCACTCTGGGGTTTACATTTTTGGTTTTGTGCAGTGGTGGGGAATGAACATAGGCAGGGCCTCACGCATGCTAGGCAGGTAGGTGTGTGCTGAGCTACACTTCAACCCAGCACTGAAGCTGAATCACAACTTCTTAGCTCTGAAACCTAAAGCAAGTCAATCCAGAGCTCTCAATGTCCCTTGGCTCCCTGGTAAATGGGGAAAACAAAACCATGTATCCTGCATGGCTGTTGTAAGATTGATGGATGTAAGACCCTTAGGAAGCCCCAGGTGAATGGGCACTGCTAACATCATCATTACTATTTATGTTAGACCCAGAGAGCCTATGAATGAAAAATAAAACGATCAGACTAAAAGCTCACCAATTTCTGAACTTCAAATTCTGCAGCTATCTGCCAGTACCCCTCTTCATTGGGAGACAACATCACAACATCAAAAGCAGAGGCAGTGGCAACAGTGGCACCTTCCCGGCTGAGTGCCAGTGCCTGTATGCGTGCATCATGTTCAAAGCGATGGACAGGACGCTTCCCAGTCCTCAGGTCCCAAACATGAAGAAATCCTAGACGGAAAGAAACAGTGCAGACAACAATTTCAAATCTGCTTAATATGAACAATTATAAAATAATCATGTGATATTTTTCAAAATTCAGCAAGAAATAATTGTGTGGAGACAGCAGAGTCTGGCTATTTGTTTGAATCCAGCCCTAGTGCTTGCCGGCTGCAGGACTTTGGGGGAGAAACACCATAGCTGTGAGACACTTTCAACTGTAAAACTGGGGATGACCTACCACATAGGGCTGCTGGATAGATTAGAGACCAACCATATATAATACTGAGGACAAGACATTCCTTTCTACCTTTAATCTTTATATATTCTATAGAGCTTGCTGTGAATAGAGCACATTTAATCTATCAATAATGGTAATTTCTTCTCAGCAAGTCATTGTATTTTCTTATAACATCCTACTGCCCAGAATAAAGCTTTTCACTTTTCCTTGTAAGCAATCTTCCTGTCTTTCCTATTTCTTGTTTGCATTTTGCCTGTAAACTGCAAATGCTTTGAAATTAAGTTCTTACTATAAAGTACCATGCAGCATATATAGAGTTAGAAGAAAATAATATATTCAGGCTACTTTACAAGACTTTTAAGCTGTCAGTACGCTAAATAGGTGACTACGAACAAAAGCAGTGTGTTCTTCTAAGAATTATGATAAACTTAGAGGATAAGCAGATCACAAAAGGCTCTACAACACATTCCCCTAGCAAATATTTTGGCAAATTCTTTCCATCCTATTCAGAGGGAAAAGAAAAGCTACAGAAAATGCCGAAAGCTTTACTCATTAAATAGGGGACAGCTCTCACATTCCAAGATGCCTCATCTTAGTATGTGCCTCTGCTCTTTACAAACAGTAAAGAGAAATAAAAATTGCTACTTGTATCAAGCTTCTGAGTGTTCATAAGGTCATTTGTCTCCTCTTGTAAAAGGGCACCTTTCTGTCTTGGGAGAAGCATAAATTCATTCCACATAAGAGAAGAAACAGAAGCTCTGAATGGCTCACCAATGGATCCAAAGCCACTTGATGTACGATGAGGTTGAGTTGTAATTTAGCTAGCAAAGTGCAGGATGAGTGGCTGTATTTACAAGTACATAAAATAACTCTGAGCTTGATGAATGACTGATGAACAAGACCAAACACACCCTGTGTTTTGCCAAGTATGAAAGCAACTTAACCATAGCTCTTTCTAAGCACACATGGAGTTTATCTATAAACACATTTTTCATTATTAATCAAGTCTTGGTTTTGTTGGCATCATTTTTCCAACAGAACTGGATGGAATAAAATACACTTTACAACAAAGTTGAGTTTCACGAGCTATCCTAAGGGTCCTTTTGGAAAAAAATATTCTCAGGTTCAGCCCAAGACTCTGCCCTCAACTTAATAATGGTCAAGTTCTCTTGTGAAGCCCACTGTTACTTCTATATTACCTTAGAAGTCAAAATTCTTTTTTTATATATATTTTTTAATTTTTTAAAGAAAATAAAAGAGAACAGAACAAAGCAAATCAAAACAGAATAATGCATGCAACACAGCACTTCACAAGACAACCAGACTTCAACAGTAGTTACCATAACGTCTCTTTTCTTCCAAACAGTTGAGCATACCTTCACACACATTAATATCAAATATAATCATATAGTATAAAACCATCCAAAAGAATGTAAGCATTGCAGGACTCCAAAACCAAATAACAGGAAATAAACAATGGGTACTATAATATCTCATTTTCCTCAAAAAATTTGTCTATATCATCACACATAATAAAATCAAATAAAGCACAACAGGATAGCACCAATCAAAACAGAAGAACAAAAGCATGGTAGGACTTCAACAGAAGATAATAGTAAATCAGCAATGGCTACCGTGATGCCTTCGTTTCTTCAAAACAGCTATTCATACCATCACATATAATAAAATCAAGCAAGACAGAACAAAACCAATCAAACAAATGAGGGAAAGCATCAGAAGACTTCAAAGCAATATAATAGGAAACCATGCTTACCATAATATATCCCATCATATTCAAAATAGCTGCCCCTACCATATGACAGCATAAAATCTAACAAAACAAGACAGAATGAAGCCAAACCTAACAAAATTGTGTAAACAATGGAAGAGTTGAAGACAATAAGAAACTGACAATAGTTTCTACCTTTCCCTCCCAGGTATTTCCTCCCCTTACTCTTACATGAAGCATTTGCTTTGGATCCCATGAACTCCTTCTGTTTCTTATGCTAGGGTTCACACATATGAGCTCAAACTGTTTCGGCATGAACATGATCTCCAGTTGTGTCCATTTACCTACAGGAGCCTTGAGATTATTCTCCTTTATAGCTGAGTAGCTTTCCACTGCATGAAAATACCATGTCTTTCTTATCCATTCTGTGGTTGGTGGGTAAGTTACTCTTGCCATTTTTTTTTGGGGGGGGGGTCTCCTGTCACATGAAGCAATTGTTTTCTCTCCTTTGATTTTCAGTCCATGAATTTCCTTTCCAGTCGATGGATCTTGTTTTTTGATCAACCTCTCCCTGCGTTTCTTTTTATTGCTGACTCGAGGCCATCTTCATTAATGGTTACAACATTAGATGGTCTCTGCCCTGCTACCCTCCTGTTGTTGGCCCTCCACTTTCCCCCTTCATTCAGCTGCCTCTCTTGTTTGGTGATCCTCCTCTGCTGCTATTCCTGAAACCATGGTCATCTTTACCTCTCTCTAGAATATCCTTTAGAACTCTCTGTAGGGTTGGTTTGAATTCCTTCAAACCATGAATTCCTTCAGTTGTTCTTTATCATGGAAGTATCTTATTTTTCCATCCATTTTGAAAGATACTTTTGCAGGGCAGATTAATCTGGGTTGGAAATTGTTTTCTTTCAGGTTTTGAAACACTTCACTCCAAACTCTTCTTGACTTGATGGTTTGACAAGTCTGTTGTGATTCTGATTGGTTTTCCTTTATAGGTGTCTGTCTCTTTTCTCATAACAGCTTTTAATATTCTATTCTTCTGCTGAATTTCTGGGATCTTCATTATTATACGTTTGGGTATAGATTTACTTTGGTTACGGCTATTGGAGTCCTGTATGCCTCGCTTATCCGCATGCAGATCCATTTCCCGTATTTGGGAAGTTTCCTTCTATTACTTCTGTGAATACCCTTTTAATTTCATTTGTGTTGAACTCTGCTTCTTCACCAATACCCATCACTCTTAGTTATGCTTCTTTGCATCATCTTGCAGCCATTGCGTTATTTCCTGATTCCATGTTATTTTTATCTTTCCTTTCACAATCACTAGCTGCAATCCTACCATCAAGGTTTGAAAATCTATCTGTAATCTCTTTCAAGCGGTTTTGCCAGCTTTCTATTGAATTTTTAATTTCCTGCATCTCTCTTTGAACCTGTTTCGTGCATTGCCATTCCTTTCTACATTCATACAAGGTTTCCATCATTTTCCTCTGCTGCTGCTCTTTACTGTCTATGTCTTCTTTAGACCTGAACAATTCTTTCAGTGTGTTTGTGATTTCTTCTTTTACCTGAGACATTATTTCTGATTTGACTGCTTTTACAATCTCATGAGGTTGCTTCTTTACTTCAGTTGCGATTCTCTCAGAGATTGCAGGTGTATGACTTCCGTTTTCTCCTATGGCTGTATCTCCCAGACTTCTTCTGTGTGGGTTAGAGGTCTCAGTTTGCCTTTTCTCCTTCATCTTGACATTCTCCTGGGTTCCTCCAAACAAACTGGTTGTGGGGCCCCAGGCACTTCCTGCATTGGCTGCCTCTAGGCTGTGTAGGGAGATGAGAGAGGCACCTACCTGGGTTCCTCTAATTCCAGATTTACAGAGAGACAGCAGGGTGTGGAGCGGGCTTCTCCAGACCTATGTAGCTATACTGTGACTTTGCTGAAAATCAGGGGTGCATGGAGGTGGGGCTGCTTCTCTCACACTGGGACTCCGTGGCAGACACATGCACAGGGCTTACGTAGCTGTGTGTCCGCCCCTGCTCCTGCTAGCTGCCTTCAGGAAGGAGCCTTCTGGCGGCAGCTCCCTGAGAGTGAAGGCACATCTGCTGGTTGCCTGCAGGACAGGGCCTTTTGCTGGCGGCGCACAGCAGGCAGAGGTGGACCTGTCTGTCTCCCTTGACCCTCGCTGGGTGCACTGAAGAAAGGGCTTTCCAGCGGCGGCTCCTGGCAGGCAGAGGCAGATCTTCCAGGAGCCAAGATTCTTTGTTATTTTACCACAGTGCTTGCTTTAGGATTTTGACATACATCCTTAACTACTGCAGCCTGCATTTCAAGGGTATTATAACGCTTCACAGAGTTAAGAACTTCTAAGTGCACAGTTTTTCATTTCTCCCTTCCCAGGTTTTGTGCTACTTTTATTTCTACGTTATGTTATAAACATTACATACATTGTTATATTTGCAAAAGCAGGTAACTATCTTGTAGAGTGATTTAAATAATAAAAAAAGTCATTGCTATTTATGCACATAATCACAACTTCTGCTGTCTTTCCAAGATCACTTTCAACAACATTATAAAATCCCGAGCCAGGGATATAGCTCAGCAGCATTAGTGCTTGCCTGGCAAGCCCAAGGTCCTGAGTTATATTCCTGGTGCCTAAATACATAAAATTCTGCAAATTTTGCAATGTAAATTTTTGGTTTTTTGGGGTCCTAGGATAAGACTCACAACCTCGCGCTTACCAGGCTGGTGCTTATGCCACTGAGTTAAATCCCCAGCACAATTTAATGTTGAACTGTGTGGCTAAATAGCTGGTCCAAGAACACAAGGCACGCATAGATAGAGTAGTGAAAAGGAAGGAGCATTTGACTGAAGACCAATTTTAAAAATGGTCAATTTACTAATTAATATAGCTATAGCATGGCTGCTCTTACAACTTCAAAACTTCAGAAACCTAACAGTCAATACCTGAATTATGAGAGAGTTCTATAATTACATAGCTGTATCATTTGTGTTACTCAGTATTTTGCCAAAAAGGCAAAATAATA